CTCTTTGCTTCAGGAGCTGGGGAAGTGTTGCAGTCATCTCCTTTTCCCTTTTTAGCTCTTCTTCAGTCCCCACCCCCTCAAATAACCTCTGGAGCTTGGAATGATTTATCTGATTAATTGTTCTCAGGATAACCATGTGGGCATAAGAGGAAAGCAGGTTTCTGATGCTACTGTGGCCTCCTAGCAACGGACACAATCAATGCTCATTGGTTTGGGATGTTAGGCTGCAACCGTCTTTAGGGAGCTGTATATTTTCCATATGTGTTGAGAAGTATAGCAAAGTCTAAGAGAATTAATTGAGAGAATTTGGTTATCCTACTTTCTGGCTTGCTAAGGGTTAACTTTCTAAATTCCAAAATCCTTTTTGTGTCTCCTCTCATTAAAATTATAAAATAATTCATTTCATTTTTTTGTCTTAGCAAATAGAGCATTTTGACTATAACACAAGATGTTGTGGTTGATTAACATGGTTCATACTGTAAAGAACTAAAGATGTCAAAGGATGTTGACATTAAACACACCTTAGAAGTTGTTATGATTTTTCACTTGTAATTTTTTCCATAACATTAGACTATTGACTCTGAAAGACAAAAATCTGATTACTCGAAGATTTTTTTTTTTTAGATTGTGATTATTCTAGACTTACTGCACTGTTCATGAACCTTTAGTAAAGTTGATGCATAAGTGTTTTCTGGAATTCAAAAAATAAATGATTCTTGGACAAAGAAAGATTCAAAATACTTTTCCTCATTTTTCCGGTCAAAATATTTTTTTTGTTTTAGATCAGATCATTGAAAAATATCCCACAAGTTATAAAGATTAATAAAACTGGAGAAATATAGAAGTCTGATTATTGAAATGACATTGTCACATAAATTTCATTAAAGGAGCCATTAGGCTAAAGTGTTTTTATGTGTATTAAACTGTGCTATCTAAACTACCAGGGACTTTTTTTTTTTAAGCAGCCTAATTAAAAGAGAAATGGGTCAAGAGGAAGCTAATTAAGTAATTTATCGAAGGCTCAAGTATAAACAAGACAACAATTCGAGATTCTTATTTTGCAGATGGTATTTTTCACTGCTTCCTTCACTTCTTGGATGCTTCATATTTCACATTATTTTAAGAACAATTCACTCCCAGAGGATCATGGATGTACAGTCAGTTTGGTCTTGCTGAGTCAACGTGTGCCTGTGTTCTCACAAATCTCCAGGCAACGTTCACTGACAAGACAGAGGGAGCTGTGCTCAGCATTTTCTTCAAATTGCTGTCTGAAAAATGCTGTGAAAATGATGTTCACTGTTGTTTGTTTCACCCATTCTCAGTACTGAGACGTCAAAATTACTATTTCTGAGTACAGCATGTGTTCTTATTAAAGATAAGTAAAGTGTTTTTAAGACTCAGCTAGGTGTTTCATTAAATGTGATATATGCAGCAACATATAAAGTATATCATTTATTCACCTTGAGATGCTATTAGGAATGTGCATTTGTGTGATGTCTAACTGATATCATATGGTGCACTAAAACAGGGCTTTTCTATTTAAGAACCATTTCACTATGGGTTTGGGGAAAGTTACGTATCTCAGGAAGTGTTTAGCTTCCAATAGCTTTTCCTCTCTTTTTTAAGTGCAGTAATATATCTTAAAAACATGTATGTATATGTATGCATGTGTGTGTGTATATAGACAGTAAATATATATACACACTATATATATACTGAAATGTTATGCAGCACATCACACTGTGTGTGTGTATATATATACACACAGTAAATACACACACACACACACACACACACAGAGTAATGTGCTGTATAACATTTCAGTCAACAACAAACCACCTGTGAGACATTCGTTCCATTTTAATGGAGCTGAAAAATTCCTGTTGTCTAGTGACATCGTAGCCATCGTAATGTAGCATAATGCATTACTCACATATTCGTGGTCATGCTAGTGTAAACAAACCTACCGTGCTTCCAGCTGTATAAAAGTATAGCACATACAATTATGTACAGTACATGATACTCAATAATGATGATAAGCAACACAACTACTCTACTGGCTTATGTATTTGCTATACAGCTCTTCTTCAGTCCCCACCCCTTCAAATAACCTCTGGGGCTTGGAATGATTTATCTGATTAGCTGTTCTCACAATAACCATGTTAAACTATATGTTAAACCATTCTTTTTAACACCATTTTAGAGTTTACTCCCTCTACTCATGAAAAAAAAATTAACTGTAAGACAGCCTCAGGCAAGTCCTTCAGGAGGTGTTCCTGAAAGTACTGTAGAAGATGATAGCTTCATGTGTGTTATTACACCAAAGACCTTCCAGTGAGGCAAGCTGTAGAGGGTGGAGGTAGAAGACAGTGATATTGATGATCCTGACTTTGTATACGCCTAGACTGATGTGTATACTTGCATCTTAGTTCTTAGCAAAAAAAAAGGTTAAAAAATTTTTTAAAAATAATTTTAAAAAGACATTTTAAAAATATAAAGAAGTGGCCGGGTGCTGTGGCTCATGCCTGTAATTCCAGCACTTTGGGAGGCCAAGGCAGGTGGATCACTTGAGTCCAAGAGTTTGAGACCAGTATAGGCAATACGGTGAAGCCTCATCTCTACAAAAAATACAAAAATTAGCCAGGCGTGGTGGTGCGCATCAGTAGTCCCAGCTACTGAGGAGGATGAGGCAGGAGGATTGCTGAGCCCTGGAGGTCGAGGCTGCAGTGAGCTGAGATCACACCACAACATTCCAGCCTGGGCAACAGAGACACACCCTGTCTCAAAAATAAATAAATATATAATAAAAAATAATAAATAAATACTGGACATGGGAATGCGAGAGACATCTGGTTGACCTTAGACATGAGAAGCTGAGAGCCAGCTTGTTGACCTTAGACATGGGATATTTTATATATTTTTATATATGTACATGTACATATATGTGTATATATGTACATACACATATATACGAAGAAGCTTATGGAACAAGGCTAAAAGAAAGCAAATATTTTTGTCAACTCTACAGTATGTTTGTGCTTTAAGGTAAGTGGTATTACAAAAGATTCGTAATGTTAAAAAATGCAAAAGTTTAAATTAAAAATGCTACAGTAAGCTAAGGTTAATTTATTATTGAAGCAAGAAAAAATATTTTTTACGAATTCAGTGTAGGCTAAGTGCTCAGTCTTTAGAAAGTCTGCAGTAGTGTACAGTAATACCCTAGACCTTCCTATTCACTCACTACTCACTCACAGTGGAGCTTGCAGGACTGAAAGATGCTCTGGGTGAGTCAGTGAGTGGTGAGTGAACATGAAGGCCTAGGGCATTACTGTACTTTCAATATTTATACCATTTAAATCTTTATACCATTACTTTAAACCTTTTATACCATACTTTTACTGTACCTTTTCTATGTTTAAATATGTTTAGATACATGAATATCCAGCACTGTGTTACAACTGCCTACAGTATTCAGTACAGTAGCATGCTGTATAGGTTTGTAGCCTAGGAGCCATAGACTTTACCATGTAGTTCAGGTGTATAGTAGGTAGGCTACACCATCTCGGTTTGTGCAAGTACTCTCTATGATGTTTGCACAATGACAAAATCACCTAGTGATGCATTCCCCAGAACGTATTCTTGTTATTAAGCAACACATACTATTGTGTGTGTATATAAATATATACACTCACACAGATATAGAAGAAGTAAATAGAATAAAATAAGATAGATATTATAAATACTTGGAGGTCATGCCACATGAGATTTCTTCCAATAAATGAGAAGTGAAATTGCCTCTGGCAGTTAAATTTTAAATCAACACATTACTAAGATATGCAGTCAGTCCCCTTAAAGAAAAAGTATGGCTCCCAGGCCGTGGTGTACGGGTCATGAAAAGACAGGATGCGTAATTGACCAAGGGCTCTAGCTTCCGTGCTCTGAAATCATTCACCATGTTGTATTGAGGCCAGGCTTTCCGTGGGCTGCTCCCAGCCATAACTGAGTGCAACCGGAACACTAAGGCATTTCTGCAAGACAGGGCATTTCTACAGCCCACTTTGCCACAAGTGACCCTTCTTGCCCCACATCCTGCCCCCAGTGCCTTGATGAACCTTCCTCCAACTGTAAATGTCTAAGATGCTTCCTCCTGCCCTTCCCCTTTCTCCTTCGTTCAGGGTCAGGCTTGCATCATAGATCAAGGGCTATCCAAGCTTTCCTCAGCTCCTTCCTTTAATAAAATCCATGCATGTTTAATCCCATCTTGACACGTACTTCCTGGACTAACACACAGACCAAACTATAATTGTATGATTGATTAATACACTAATGTAGCTTAAAAATAAAACATGTTGCTCTCAGAAAGAGATTGGTCAGCTCTAGGAGTTGTGAAAAAGGATGACACACAAAGCTGAACCTGCTCAGCTCATGCCTCTCTGACAGAGGAGGTGACAGCAACGTACCAGCCCAAACACTATTCTTGTTTTTGCAATGGATATATCTGGTGCCATAAAATATTTAGTTCATCTAGTAACACACTTTGTTCTGAGTTCATGCTTTCCAGATGATGTTGAGTTGACTTTTTGACTTCCTCCTCGGCCTATCTCCAGGGAGCAATGTATTAGTTACATGGATGTAGCCCATGAGGGATTTCTTGGAAATTTGGAGAACTGCATTCTAGAGACTCAAAACTGTAACTGCTGAGTGGAGCATCTATGGGCAAGAGCAGAATCACTGAATACTTGAGGAGGGCTGCAGGATGGCCTGGTTTCTGTGAGAGTGATCTGGTAGGTTCTGCCGAGGAAAACTGGATGGTGTCTGGCATGTATTCAGCAAGTAATAAATGCTAGCAAGCACTTTTGTTATTGGATTATGGAAGGAATTGTCATCTAAAAGGAGAAACATTAAGTTTTCTTTAAAATATTATTATGTTAGTTTCCTAAGGCTGCCATACCAAAGTACCACAAACTAGATAACTTAAAGCAAAAGAAATCTATTCTCACTGTTTTGGGGGCTAGAAGTCTGAAAAGAAGACGTCAGCAAGGCTGGTGCCTTTCGGAGGCTCTGGGGGAGAATTGGTTCCATGTCTGTGTCCTGGCTTCTGGTGAACAAAGGCAGTGCTTGGTGTTCCTTGGCTTGTAGATGCATCACTCCAGTCTCTGCCTCCAGCTTCATGTGGCCTTCTGTTTGTGTATCTCTGTTTCTTCACATGGCTGCCTTCTCATAGAAACACTAGTCATATGGAATTAGGAGTCTACCTCACTCCACTATGACCTCATCTTAGCTTATTACATCGGCAAGGACCCTATTCCCATGTAAGGTCACATTCTGAGGTATTATGGGTTTGGATTTCAACATATTTTTGGCAGGACACACAATTCAACTCATATTGGACTTTATGACTCTATGAAATTACTCAAGAGAATAGCTTCATAATGCATAAGACATAAAAATTGGGTAATTCAAGACATTACAAACTTTATAGTTAATGTTTGTTCAAATTAACTTAAAGGAGGGGGTGGGTGTAAAAAAGAGGAGGAGGAGGGGCAACTTGTAGAAATGGAACCCAGAGAAGGAAGGGGCCCAAGAGAGCTCATAACTTATTTCTATAAAATAAAGAATTTCCTTGCTGTCTATGAGCACTTGGCCGCTTTAGGTTGAGGACTGTGCTCTGAATTGTCTACTCATCTCACACCCCTGCCTAATTGTACACTCACATTTTGTCATACAGTCCATCTCCACACAGTTTCTTCTTTCATCTGGTCCCCCACAATCCCTCCAATCCTGCCTGGAGGCTAAAGCAAATGAAATATATTTACTGTTCTGTACATTTAGATAATAAAAGAACACTAAGTCTCCACATTCAAATTTCCTTGCAATGTTAGATTGCTTGCTCTAGTTTAGCCTATTAACCATGGGCAAAATACATTGAATATGTTTTCTCTATTTTGTGACATTAACTTTTGACTTTCAGCTAATCATTTAAATGTGTGCCACCAGAAAACACAGCTTCAAAACTGTCTCCGTGTTTACATTCCTCAGGGTTGAAGCATAGCAATTTGAAAGGATGCAGTTTAAGAATTAATATAGATAGACAAAAATTACAGAGGATTATAAAGAGGCCCCATGGTTTTGGGAGCTATTCCCTGGCAATCCCTTGTGTTTGATTTAAAAAAAAAAAAAGAAAAAAGGAAAAAAAGGAAAAAAAGCAAGGCAGATGTTGAGTGCTCTAGGCTATTCTGCATTTATGGAATTTTCCACTAGGTAATATGCATTCAGGTCACATACACAGTGAGATTTCCTGCAGTGACAGTACAGATAAAAAGGCTGTGCAACTTGGTGATAATTGTGCTCCATTTAAGCAAACCATCAACTGGTGCATTTTTACAGCAATTGTCTCAGAAGCATGAGAGATGCTTTTGTGTGCATGCTTTAAATATGGATTCATTGGCACCCAAAGAACAATAGGATGCATTATGAAATGCATCTTAATGAGAAATAAGCATTGGTAGGTCTTCTGAGTTCATGTTTCTATACCACTTTTAAGCCACTAATTAATTAATGGTATTTCTTTGGTCAAATTTAGAGGTAAATCTCTTCTCATTTTTATTTTATTTATTTATTTATTTATTTATTTATTTATTTATTTATTTTGAGATTGAATTTCACTCTGTCACCCATGCTGGAGTCCAGTGGCACAATCTCGGCTCACTGCAACCTCTGCCTCCCAGGTTCAAGCAATTCTCCTGCCTCTGCCTCCCAGCCTCCCAAGTAGCTGGGATTACAGGCATGCACCACCACGCCCGGCTAATATTTTTGTATTTTTAGTAGAGACTGGGTTTCTTCATATTGGCCAGGCTGGTCTCGAACTCCTGACCTTGTGATCCACCTGCTTCAGCCTCCCAAAGTGCTGGAATTACAGGTGTGAGCCACCACATCCAGCCCCTCTTCCCATTTTCTAGGAGTTGCTTTCCCAGAGCCTGATAACATAATTTAAATATCCATTATTTCTACCAACTATTATTGGGTTAGTACAGAAGGTTTAGCATCTCCAACCCATTGAAGGAGAAGACGAGAAGGAAAAGGAATATTAAAGCAATCCATTTTTATTTTTTAGTTCAGTTTATAATCTAGAGTCAAGATGAATGATTGTGTACTGTCCATTAATATCTGTGCTTACCACTCCTAGTTGCTAAGCATCAATGTCATCTAACCTTTTGTGGAATATCTGTTGGATTTTTAAGTCTTTCTAGAAGATAATTTCCTTTGTTTGCAGCGTTGTGCTCATAGAAGTATTGTTTTTCAACCCACTGCATATCAGCAAATCTGCCTCGGGGCTGCATGAACATATGGGAACTGGCACAAATATGCCTGAACTGATGCAACAGGAAGTCAGCCACTGCAGGGAAAGGATGGACATAACACTGAAGCTATCAAGCTTATTAAAAGTTTCTTGCAATAAACAAGATAAAAAATGTCCAACACAATTACATCCAAAGAAACTAGGGACGAGCCAGACTACTTCCTGAAAACATGCCTTTGCAAATAAAATTGATACTAAAATTTTATGTAAATTCTCAAAGCAGTTTTTTCCAATTCTGTGAAGGAAATCATTGGTAGCTTAATGGGTATGGCATTCGATCTATAAATTACCTTGGCCAGTACAGCCATTTTCACAATATTGACTCTTCCTATCCATGAGCATGGAATGTTCTTTCATTTGTTTGTGTCTTCTTCTATTTCAATAAGCAGTGGTTTGTAGTTCTCCTTGAAGAAGTCCTTTACATCCCTTGTAAGTTGGATTCCTAGGTATTTTATTCTCTTTGAAGCCATTGTGCATGGGAGTTCATTCATGATTTGGCTCTCTGTTTGTCTGTTACTGGTGTGTAAGAACGCTTGTGATTTTTGCACAGTGATTTTGTATCCTGATACTTTGCTGAAGTTGTTTGTCAGCTTAAGGAGATTTTGGGCTGAGACAATGGGGTTTTCTAAATATACAATCACATCATCTGCAAACAGGGACAATTTGACTTCTTCTTTTCCTAACTGAATACCCTTGATTTCTTTCTCTTGCCTGATTGCCCTAGCCAGAACTTCCAACACTATGTTGAATAGGAGTGGTGAGAGAGGGCATCCCTGTCTTGTGCCAGTTTTCAAAGGGAATGCTTCCAGTTTTTGCCCATTCAGTATGATATTGGCTGTGGGTTTGTCATAAATAGCTCTAATTATTTTGAGATATGCTCCATCAATACCGAATTTATTGAGAATTTTTAGCATGAAGGGCTGTTGAATTTTGTCAAAGGCCTTTTCTGCATCTGTTGAGATAATCATGTGGTTTTTGTATTTGGTTCTGTTTATATGCTGGATTACATTTATTGATTTGCATATGTTGAACCAGCCTTGCATCCCAGGGATGAAGCCCACTTGATCATGGTGGATAAGCTTTTTGATGTGCTGCTGGATTTTGTTTGCCAGTATTTCATTGAGGATTTTTGCATCCATGTTCATCAGGGATATTGGCCTAAATTCTCTTTTTTTGTTGTATCTCTGCCAGGCTTTGGTATCAGGATGATATTGGCCTCGTAAAATGAGTTAGGGAGGAGTCCCTCTTTTTCTATTGATTGGAATAGTTTCAGAAGGAATCCCACCAACTCCTCCTTGTACCTCTGGTAGAATTCGGCTGTGAATTCGTCTGGTCCTGGACATTTTTGTTTGGTAGGCCATTAATTATTGCCTCAATTTCAGAGCCTGCTATTGGTCTATTCAGGGATTCAACTTCTTCCTGGTTTAATCTTGGGAGAGTGTAAGTATCCAGGAAATTATCCATTTATTCTAGGTTTTCTAGTTTATTTGCACAGAGGTGTTTATAGTATTCTCTGATGGTAGTTTGTATTTCTGTGGGGTCAGTGGTGATATTCCCTTTATCATGTTTTATTGCATTTATTTGATTCTTCTCTCTTTTCTTCTTTATTAGTCTTGCTAGTGGTCTATCAATTTTGTTGATCTTTTCAAAAAACGAGTGCCTGGATTCATTGATTTTTTTGGAGGGTTTTTTGTGTCTCTCCTTCAGTTCTGCTCTGATCTTAGTTATTTCTTGCCTTCTGATCGCTTTTCAATGTGTTTGCTCTTGCTTCTCTAGTTCTTTTAATTGTGATGTTAGAGTGTCAATTTTAGATCTTTCCAGCTTTCTCTTGTGGGCATTTAGTGCTATAAATTTCCCTCTACACACTGCTTTAAATGTGTCCCAGAGATTCTGGTATGTTGTATCTTAGTTCTCATTGGTTTCAAAGAACATCTTTATTTCTGCCTTCATTTCATTATGTACCCAGTAGTCATTCAGGAGAAGGTTGTTCAGTTTCCATGTAGTTGAGCAGTTTTGATGGAGTTTCTTAGTCCTGAGTTCTAGTTTGATTGCACTGTGGTCTGAGAGACAGTTTGTTATAATTTCTGTTCTTTTGCATTTGCTGAGGAGTGCTTTACTTCCAACTATGTGGTCAATTTTGGAATAGGTGTGATGTGGTGCTGAGAAGAATGTATGTTCTCTTGATTTGGGGTGGAGAGTTCTGTAAATGTCTATTAGGTCCACTTGGTGCAGAGTTGAGTTCAATTCCTGGATATCCTTGTTATCTTTCTGTCTCGTTGATCTGTCTAATGTTGACAGTGGGGTGTTGAAGTCTCCCATTATTATTGTATAGGAGTCTAAGTCTCTTTGTAAGTCTCTAAGGACTTGCTTCATGAATCTGGGTGCTCCTGTATTGGGTGCATATACATTTAGGATAGTTAGCTCTTCCTGATGAATTGATCCCTTTACCATTATGTATTGGACTTCTTTGTCTCTTTTGATCTTTGATGGTTTATAGTTTGTTTTATCAGAGACTAGGATTGCAACCCCTGCTTCTTTTTGTTTTCCATTTGCTTGGTAGATCTTCCTCCATCCCTTTATTTTGAGTCTATGTGTGTTTCCGCATGTGAGATGGGTCTCCTGAATACAGCAAACTGATGAGTCTTGACTCTATCCAATTTGCCAGTCTGTGTCTTTTAATTGAACCATTTAGTCCATTTACATTTAAGGTTAATATTGTTATGTGTGAACTTGATCCTGTCATTATAACATTAGCTGGTTATTTTGCTCATTAATTGATGCAGTTTCTTCCTAGTATCGACGGACTTTACATTTTGGCATGTTTTTACAATGGCTGGTACCTGTTGTTCCTTTCCATGTTTAGTGCTTCCTTCAGGAGCTCT